TTAGGCTTACTACACACAAAACTTCTGTAAGCTATCTATGATATTTTAGATTACACAAAAAAAAAAAACTTGGTAAACATATTGACTTGAAATAATTAAAATTTTATTTAAGTAAATTAAATATATTCTAATGTCTACACACACTTAAGGCTAGATATGGTCAACTCTTAGGCTTACTACACACAAAACTTCTGTAAGCTAGCAAACATTGAAATTTAACCATTGTCTTCTAGGTGCAAGATTCTGTTTTACTGCCATGATCTGCCTACCTTACTGTTTGTGTCCATCGTGTTTGAGGAAACTGAGCAACTCTTTAATAGTAATCTCAGCCATACACTCGTGTGTTGACTCTGAGAGAATCATTAACCTGTGGAGGCTGTGGGTTTTGCTCAACATTATGGGCATTACCCTATACGCTTGCCTCTCGGGCTTCTGAGTGAATTAGCTCTTTTTTCCAATGCCTTTTGCTAATTACTGATGTACAGCAAATATATGTTGAAATTTTGGCTCTTTAAATTTCCTTCCTTTTTTAATAGTTTCCAGTCTATGTTAATTTTAAGTGAGAAATACAGTGTAACTGCTAAGTCCCTGTCTTTAAAACTGACATTTGAAAAACCTGAAGTCAGAAGGTCCCAATTTCCTTAGCAATTTCAGGCCTGGTTTGCATCATAGCGTACTGTAAGGGCGGGAACTTAACTGCCACTGGTTGTGTGATGGGGCTAGAATCAGGGAGTAAGACACAGGTGGCCACAGGAACCCACACTGCACACGTTATGGTGGTTCCAATTTTTACATGGCAGACACCTTCGATCCATTACTTTTTCTTTGTTGCTGTCAACTGCTGCCAGCTATGGCGACCCCATGCAGACTGTTGTGATCTGTTGCGGTCCATAGGGTTTTCATTGGCTAATTTTCAGAAGTACATCTCCAGGTCTTTCTTCCTAGTCTGTCTTAGTCTGGAAACCCCATTGAAACCTGTTCAACATCATAGCAATACACAGGCCTCCCTTGACAGACAGGTGGTGGTTGTGCATGAAGTGCACCCAGAAACAAACCCAGGTCTCCCGTGTAGAAGGCGAGGATTCTCCCTCTGACCTACTACTGCTTCCTTTTCCTTTAGAGCTAGTGACTTAGTTTAAACATATACTGTGCCATGTACTGTGACTCTTTGTTGTTGTTGTTGTAATATGCCGTCGAGTTGGACCCGACTCATCGCGACCCCTCCTTGGGTTTCTGAGGCAGTATCACTACAGAAGTAGATTGCCCCATCTTCCTTCCGAGGAGTGGCTGGTGGGTTTGAACCGCCAGCCTTCTGGTCAGTAGTCAAGTGCCTTAGGCACTATGCGACCAGAGCTCCTCTAGGATCTACTAACTAATCCAAACTGAACCCAGAATCTTTAGAATCATGAAACCATTTCCTCACTATTAATGATATATGAAAATGTCAAAGACATCTGATTCTAGTTCTTTGATGGTGTTGCTTGGGAGCAGATCAGACCTTTTCCATAGACTTCTGGGAAATGTTTTGAAATACTGAGAGAGAGTGGTGTGCTTTTAACATGGAAATAATTGCTTTTGTGAAATTCATATTCCAGTTTGTGAATGCCTACTTTCTTCTCTTGCTTCGCCTTTGCTTTGTTCAGCTTTCACTGGTTAAGTGCATAGAGTGCCATTAAAAATTCTTACTGCAACAGAAAACTTCTTTTCTTAGATACTTCTCCATTTGCTAATCCTTGCCCAGCTGTCCCCCATTGATTTTTCTCTCAGTGAAATCCCATCTATGTGCAGCTATTTTCATTCTTGGGAAAACTCTGATGGTGGAAGCTTGAGAGTTCTAAATCCATTAACATAAGATGCAAGAGCCCTGTCTTTATCTACACCATAAAATCCAACACCCATTTCTGATCAAAACTCTCAGCAAAATAGGAGTAGAAGGGACATTCCTCAACATAATAAAAGGCATTTATGCAAAACCAACAGCCAATATTACCCTCAATGGAGAGAGACTGAAACCATTCCTCTTGAGAACAGGAACTAGACAAGGATGCCCGCTATCACCACTTCTATTCAACATTGTACTGGAAGTCCTAGCCAGGGCCATAAGGCAAGAAAGGGAAATCAAAGGCATCCATATTGGTAAGGAAGAAGTCAAACTATCCCTATTTGCTGATGATATGATCCTATACCTAGAAAACCCAAGAGATTCAATCCAAAAACTACTGGAACTAATTGAGGGATTTAGCAATGTCGCAGGATATAAGATCAACATCCAAAAATCAGTTGGATTCCTCTACACCTGTCTTTATCTGAATAGATGCAACATGACTTACACTACCTTAAAAAAAATTTTGTTTTAAGAGTATCTGTATTTTCATAAATTAAAATAAAATTGGAATGTTTTTAATCTTATTGAACCCACTGATAATATAATATTCTTACACACCTGAGGGCATCAAGCTAACTTCAGAGGATACCGAGCAAAACAAAATCTCTATCTTAGAATCACTTTTCAGTTTCTCTGTAATTTGCATACACTTAGTAATGAGACTAAATCAAAGGGCAATATTGTAGCAAGGCATTTTATAAAATATATATTATGTATATTTTAAATGCTTTGCTGAATTTGGTGATGGAAATGCATTTATTATATCATGAATATTTTCAGTCTTTGTCTAATTTGGAAATAAAACCACATTTTTCTTTTGTGTTGACATTCCATTTCAGTTATAATCACCGTTAACTTTATCATTTCTGGTTCAGGAGTTCAGTAGATCAGAAAAACTGCTTCCTGACAGCAATAGGCAACCAGAGGTCAAGTCAAAAGACTGAGCACTTTGTTTTGTGTTTAGCTGATAAGATGGATCCGCTATACGTTAGGTCTCCTTGTACAGTGACTTCCCAGCAGATAAAACATGAACGTTTGTTCCACCCTCCATACCTGTCTTAGCAGTCAAGACATTTCCATTCTAAACCTATGTGGGACATACTTTCATTCTAACTGCATATCCTAGAAGCTACCTCTAAATTTTTTTATATATATAGTTGAAAAATGTGACAGTTAATGTGCCTTTTGCCACATGTAGAGACATCTTTAGAATAAGACCTTCCTCAAAATTTATCAACAGTCCCTAAAATGAAGATAAATTAGGTAGATATGTTAACTTTCAGAGAGAAACACTTGCTATTCAGTCTTCAAAGGCCATGGTAACAGATGTGTTAAGAGAATGGTGAGGAGGGGTGGCAATTACACTTTAAAGTTTTTATTTTTTCCTTTAGTGAAGTTAAGTCCTAAGTCTCTCAGATGAAGAGCTCTGTTCTAATGCCATTGACAACTACTTGAATTTTAAAATGATTTAAATGGCAGGATGGCATATACATTGCACAAAATGCTACTCCCTGTTCAGTAGTGCAGTTATGAATTAAGAATTTCTTTGTCTTGTTTTCAAAACATTATGTACTTTCCTTACATAATGCAGTGAAAATCTTTGATGGTGAAATGAGGTTTATCTGGTTGAAATGAGGAGTTAGTCCTGCCATTTTCTAGTAATCAAAAGTAATGTGCTTCTTTCCAGCTGTTCTTCTATGTGTTTTCAATTGTGTTTAATTTTTATGCACTGTCTCTTTCTATTCTAATGGCTGCCCTTGGAATAGGCTGACCTCTGCTCTCCGTATGACATCCTGCAGTTGGATTTTCGTCACATTCGAAAGACTGTTGACACTCTGCTGGCACTTGGGGAGAAAGCCCCACAACCAACTTCCGTCCTCCACTCCAGGGACCTTAGAGACTTTTGTCTTGTCCCCCTTCTCTTTGTAGTGCTGCTTTATCTTACTTACTGCTGGAATGCTCTGTCCGCCTAATGTCTTCTGCATGTGCTTCCCAACACTGCTTGTCCCCGGTCATTACAGGGTCCTTCCCCCTTGGAAGCCTTTGCCTTGCAAACAGCTATTCCTGCCATCTCCTCTGTCATCTCTCGAATTTGAAGCTGAATGGTTACAAATTAGATTTTCCAGAAGCACAAACTTGAGAGAATGCAGTTTGCATTTAACTAATTTCTCTCACTTGACTTTGAAAAGCAACAAAAGCAAAGGGTACACACCCCTCATGCTTCCTCATGCACATGGTGCCAGCAGCAGTGCTTTGGGGCTCCTCTTCTCTCTCCCGGTGCTTCTGGGGTAGGGCAAAAAGAGGGCTCTGGGACAGGAGCATATGGGGGGCTTTCCTTGGGGTCAATATTTACCTTAAGTCCTAATTCAGGAATGGGAAACAGTGCTGTTGAGGGGCTGTTTTGCAGAGAAGACAGAGACTAGAATCCTTGCCCAATTTGGCCTATAAAAATATTTGAGAAGACCGCTATTGACCATAATAAGTACCACCTGGGGAATGACTGCTTTCTTGGGAATTCAGTTGTATTCCTCCCACTCTTCTTCTTAACAGGAGTTGTAAATGGCACCAGGAGGGTTGCTGCCAACTTCTACCCAGAGCAAAGCCACTTTGCCCTGAGGCCTGAGCAAAGCTGTGCAGAGGCTCTCTGGGGAAGGAAGTGTCCCTGGCTGTTGCAGCTTGCCATGGAAGCCTTGCTTGCACATGAATTTCCATATACTTTACTTCTTGCTCCTTCTTAGCTCTACCCTGAGACTCTTAGAAAATCATTTTCCAGGGGATTTTTAAGTAATACAGTGAATAGTGTTGGTTTTTTTTTTGTTTGTTTGTTTTTGTTTTTTGTATCACATAATAATTGAAGGTCCAGAAAGTGATTGATGTCACCATGTTCATTTTCAAATAAAGACATGAGTCATGGAACGTACCTGGTCCTGTTGGGCTTACTAGGACAGGAGCCATTAATAAGATTGCACTTAATTTAGAAGAATGCAGTTTGTCTAATTACTTGAAATTTTCATTTAGCCTCTGACTGCCAATGACATTAACTAGTAAAATGCTTTTATATGTAAGTAAGCTTACGCAAAAATGCAACCATTTCCTTGGAGTCAGGTCTGACTCATAGTGACCCCTCCTTGGTTTCCAAGATGGTATCACTACGGAAGTACGTTGCCCCACCTTCCTTGCAAGGAGTGGCTGCTGGGTTTGAACAGCCAGCCTTCTGGTTAGCAGTCAAATGCCTTAGGCATTATGCCACCAGAGCTCCCTAAGTAAGCTTAGAGGATTATTATATGTTAAGTGTATCTGCTTTTGGAGCAATATGATCAGATTGTACTTAAAAGGGAAAAACATTGGAATCTTAGTTAGGCTAAGATATTCCTGGATTCTAGGATGTCTCTCAACTATGAGGTCAGGCCCATCTCCCCAGTGCTTCAGCTTAAATCCTTTTCACCAAATGTCATTTCTGTGTCAGGTTGGGGAGGTGATAGCATTAACTTCTTCAAGATAAATTTCTAGTTTACCATCCAGGAAGGTAATGTTATTTTTCAGAACATTTCCATGAGTCCAGGGCACTTGAGAGTATGGAAAGCCCCACATAGTTAGGCTCTCTTCCCAAAGATTCCTGGTTGCTCAGTCGGATCAGTCTCTCTCACAGGAAACATTTTTTACATGATGACATCTTGAGTTAAGTGAGCATTTTCCTCCTGACTTTGTGTTGATTGGTGAAATACAGGGTATCTGGAAGTTCTCTAACCTCAATTGTGTATAAATAATCCACGGATGTACTGAATTGAATTGCCCTTGGTGCTATCTTGTACTCTTAAATCTGTAACACAATAAAATCCCTTTGAACAATGTCTGAAAAGCACCCTGATCCATAAGTTGCTTAATAAAAACATTAATTTGGGTGATTATTCCAAGAATTTTTTTGGCCTATCGATGTATTTATTCATGTGGACCCAGAATAACTGTCAGCGTTTCCTGCTGGTTGGTTATATTCAGTTCTGTGGTGCATTAAGGCTTCCGTTAATCGTCACCACTGTTGTTTTGAGTTTTTTCTTGTTTGGAAGGCAAAAGGGAAGAACAGAGGTTACTTACTGAGTGGCCACCTGAAAAAAAGTCCTATTAATAAAACTGATTAGAACAATCATGTAAAATTAGATTCATTTGTTCAGTGTTGACTTGACATTGTTCTGTAGCTACTTTCATATCTTAACTCCAGTATCTGGAATATGCTTTGGACACAGTTTCATATAATTAATTTACCTACATCCTAATGTCCTCCTCCTCTTGGGATTTGTTGGATGGTATTTTTTCACTAAGTAGTATGGTAACTAGCTGAACACAACTAATTTGGAACTTTAGGCAAAACTTTAAATGAACTGTCCTGCCCAGGGTCAGGGTATTAATTTCTATTTAGAATATTAAGCCCTTCCACAGTTCTTCTCCAAAGTGGCCATGCACTAATTTACGCTAATGCAATGCCTGCCATTGCATCTTCACTGGGGCTATCTGGCCAACCTAGTGGTAGGCTGAGAAGCGTTCAGGGGTTTAGTTGTGGTTCATACGCGGCTGCTAAATCTATCCTCAGATAAGAAAGACCACTTTTCATTACTTCTTTCTAATACCTGGTAAAAATTGCCAAGCATTTATTTACATTTTCTTTTTAAAATATTCCTTTGCCTTTTCTTTCCTTAGTTTCTCCAACTGGTGAGCAGCTCTGCATTCAGTGTCAGGATTTGCAAAATCTGTGGCAACAATTAACTAAGAAACTAGTTACCACTGAGTCCATTTCAACTCATGGTGTGTGTCAGAGTAAAACTGTGCTCCATGAGATTTTCAATGGCTGATTTTTCAGAAGTAGATCACAAACCTTTCTTCCAAGGCACCTTTGGGTGAACTCAAACCTCCATTAGCAGCTGACTGCATTAACCTTCTGTGCCACCCTGGGGTTCCAACTAATGAATGGAATGGGGATGGTGGGGAGGAACCCCAAGGGACCCAATAGTAAGACCACTGAATAGGAATTTCAGCAATGTGAGCAGATGATTAAAGGCACTTAATATACTAATGCCGTTTATGTGAGTTTGAAATTAAATTTAGTGTATGGTGTCTTGAGTTCTCTCTAAAATCCATGCCAGTCTATAGATGAGTCATAAGGGCAAAGGGTGTGTGTGTCCTATATATAGGGTGGAAGTACTGGAAGGTGGATCAGAATCCCAGGAGGCTGGAAGTGGTTTGAGATTAGCTGAAAAATCTTTCAATATGAATTTATTTCAGGAAATTAGTTTTCAACCAGGCTTCAGATTTTGAAATTAGTTTTTGATAAACAATTAGGTATACAGAATGTGCATTTTTCTGTTTCTTAAAACTATCATGGTCCAGACTCTCTGGCTTGTCAATGTGATTTTATTCCCCAGATATTTAATGTTCAAAGCCTTATGGTCCAAAATCAAACCATACTCACTGCTGTCAAGTTGATTCAACTCATAACGACCCCTCTTTGGGTTTCCAAGGTAGTATCACTACAGAAGTAGAATGTCCAGTTTTCCTTCTGAGAAGTGGTTGGTGGGTTTGAACCACCAGCTTTCTGGTTAGCAGTCAAGTGCCTTAGACACTATGCCACCAGGCCCTGGGATAAAATAGTGGCCATGATAGTCTTATCCTCAGAAAGCGTACAGTCTTAGCCAAGGGTCCGCTAACTTTTTCTGTAAAGGGCCATATAGTAAATATTTTAGGCTTTGTGGACCATATAGTCTCTGTCGCAACTACTCAGCTCTGCCTTTGTAGCATGAAAAGAGCCGTAGATAATACATACATGAAGTAGTGTAGCTATTTTCCAATAAAACTTTATTTACAAAAGCAAGCTGTAGGCTGGACGACCTGCAGGCTGTACTTTGAGGACTCCTAATCTAGTGGATCCTTAGAATAAAGAAGAAATCAGTGTGAATTCCTATAGTGAGTTAGGGATGGGATTTTGTAAAACATTGAAAAAGAGTCCATGTAGGCTTCCTAGAGGAGCTCTGGTAGCGTAGTGCCTAAGGCACTTGACTGCTAACCAGAAGTCTGGTGGTTCAAACTCACCAGCCACTCCTCAGAAGGAAGGTTGGGGAATCTACTTCTGTAGAGATACCACCTCGGAAACCCAAGGAAGGGTCACTATGAGTCGGGTCCAACTCAACAGCACATAACAACAGCCTTCCTAGAAAAGTCAAGGTTTATACTGAGCCCTAAAAGATGTGTAGGAATTCCATACTTGTGGCTTCCAGACAAACAAAAGAGAGGCATATGAGGTAAACATTTACACTAGGTGGACACACTCCTTGAAGAGAACAATTATGGGAGAATAGAAGGGGTGTGTATGCACAGGGACATAGCTCAGGGGGAAGGGTGCATGGAGGGAAGGACAAAGGGAAGAGATAACTATGGAGAAGAAGTGGGAGGGAAGCTGTTGCATTGTGGGAAATTGTAGTCAATGTCATGAGACAAAGTGTATGTGAACAGCTGTATGGAAAGTGAATTTGCTCTGTAAATTTTCATCCAAATCACACACACACACACACACACAGAAAAATGTGTAGGAATAGCCAGGCAAAGGAGGAGAATGGGTAGAGAGGTTGAGTGAAGAAGTAGAGAGTGTATGGAGAATGAAAGTGGCATGTATGAATGGAGATTGAATGGCTGGCATGTAGAGAATTCGGTGAGGAGGCCAAGAAATCTCCATAACCTTGTAAGATGTTTGATGTGGTCTGTATTTGACATTGGGAGACACTGACCCCCAGAGTGTTGACATGGTAAAGCTAGACCTTAAAGCTCTTTTATACTAAAGCAGTGCTCAGACATTTCTGTTAAATGGCTTGATTTAACCATCGAGTCAGCTTGACTCATAGCAACCCCTCCTTGGGTTTCTGAGGCGGTATCTCTACAGAAGTAGATTGTTTGGTTTTCCTTCTGAGGAGTGGCTGGTGGATTTGAACTG